AGAGAGAGAGAGAGAGAGGCACTCCAGCCTGGGAGTAGATGCAGTATGATCTCACCCGCTGATGTAATCCCCTTTAGCCAGCAGCGCTACTCTTAGCGTGATTGACAGGCCGCGGCCAGCACTCTGGTGTTTTACTGTGCTCATTACCACAGAGCTGAGGTCACCTGCTGGCTCTGACACACGCCTAAATCACCACGGCAATAATGTCACCGTATACCCGGCCGGCACGTAACCGCAGAGCCCCATGCTGAGTCCACATCAGCAAAAGATGCTACGCAGACCGGCTGATGCTGACTCGCTAGCTGTCAGAGGCAGGTTTGTGTCCTTAAAATGATGAACAGCTTTGCATTTGATATTTTAGTTCACACTGTTATCCAGAGAGACTTAGTGCAAAAGTAGAATGATAAACCGGGAAGAAGAAAGAAATGAGCAAACATACCAAACACGAGTAGGGTAATGCAATACTGCTTTGCAATTGGATAATAATTTACTCAACAATAACATTTAAATACTGTTTTTCATGATCTGTCCATGCAACTCAATATCACAAGATTGTTATATACACTGTAGCTTATTATTCGTTTTTCTTGGGTGATTTTTATCTAGCTAATTTAATCTTGAGTGAGTTCTTGGCAAATTTATTGGCAATTGACGGTTGTTGGGCTGGATTTTAACATATCGTCCAACCCTATTAGCATTGCCATATATTTAGATTTTTGAGCATGTTAGCATGACGTCATCAGCATTTAGCTCAAATAACCATTGTGCCAAACAGAGCCTCACAGAGCTGCTATTGTGGCTGTAGATTCTTTGTCTTGTTGTGATTATCAATTATTATATTTTGTGGAAAATATTTTCGGTGTAACAGTGGATTTGCCACCCCACCAAACAATATTCTGTTGGAAACGTGGAGTGCTTGTCATTTCTTGGCTAAAAACAATCACATGTAAAGGTTTTGAATGTCAGCAGCTCCAATCCGAAAATATCAAGGCTTAAAAATCGGCTGGACCCAAGCTCTCTCACTCTGTGTGTGTGTGTGT